ATTTGGGATTTCATGGAAACTTAGAGACAAAAAAAAAAGTCTTAATACAGTGGAGCCTCCACACTGTGCTGAGAAGGACACCACGGTAAGCAGTGGTCTTAACTTACCCTTGGTCACCTCACCCCCTTTTCCTCTTGCATCAGACTTCCCCTCACCTTACTTCAGAGCCCTGCATACCGCAAGTCCCACATCCAGGCCAGGAAGATGCACGCTCTGCACAGTGGGGCTCTAGGTAGAAGTTCCAAGATTTTTATTTACTTATTTTGTTCCCAAGAAGCAAAACTTTGCTTTTAGCACTGTCTTTTGGTCTAATTTTTTTAAAAAATAAATAGCGAGGAGTCTTTCTTCTTTTTCTTTAAATAACTGGAAGTAGATGTCTCTTTTCCTATTTTGTACTTCAAGTAAGTATAGATCTGAGAGCTTTGGTGTGCTTCAAGGTCAAATTTTCAGATATACATATTTTAAAAAGACACATACCTACAAACTGATTCAATAGAGAAAAAATGTAAATTTTAATTTGTAGAATCAAAAAACCAAAGTTTGACACCATTCACTGTGTCACCTTCATTATTTAACATGCCAGAACCTTGGTTTTATCGTCTGTAAAGTGAGAATAATCATGGCAGCTGTTGAGGGTTTGGGCAGCATCTTCCCCAGCCCACTTCCCTTTCTTTTGCCTGTTACCCGGATATGGCTGGATCCAGAAGCGTGCCAAAGTGCACACAGAGCGATGTGGCTTCTTGCTTTTTCAAAAATACCAAGAGGAAGAATTAGAGAAGAGACATTTTTTGTTTAAAAGTATTACAGATTTATCCTTAGAGCAATTCTGAGAACAAGTGTAATCCGAGAACATTTCCAGATACTTCGATCTTTCTCATTCTAGTTTTCCCCCTTTTCCTCTATTTATCTCCCATTTGTCCTCCTACAAAAAAATCTGTGAACTGTATATGGACGACCCACAACTTCTGTCACTCCTCTGTCTCAGAGTCAGCTCTGCAGATCCAGGCTTCGGATCTGTGAGAGATGCTGGAAGCTGTTTTTGGCTCTGGACCATTGTCCCCTCGGTTCTGAGTCCTGTCCTGTTGTCCGTCTTCTCTCTACATCGTTCCCCAGACAGCCCTACTGTTTCTTCCTTCCTGTTTGCTTAGTTTCTTCCCTGCTCCTTGGTAGCCAAAGCCCCAGTCAGTCACAGCTGCCGTCACAACCACTGTTCTATCCGTGGCTCTTCAGTCTCTGCAACAAAACAAGGCAGGAGTGGCCTTTCCCGACAGCAGGCAGTCCCCACAGCAGCCTGCAGGAGGCTGCCTGGTGTGGACGAGTCTGCCAGTGAGAGCCGGTCCCTACAGCTGCCCGGCCTGGACAGCCTGGACAGCCTGGACAGTGCTGCTCGAGTTTGCCGGAAACATGGGGAAATTCTGATAAATTCCAGATGACTTCCAAACACACTTGAGGGACGGCTATTCAAAAGCCAGATACGATCTGAATTAGGAAGTACAAGTTGATGCACAAGTCTCTGTTTTGGTCCAAACATTTTATAGATTGGAAGGATTTAACTCTGACAATTTCCACATAGGGATGATAAAAATTGAACTTTGCTCTCCTGAAGCCGTAAGCCATTATGAGAAGACAGAGCTCACTCAAAGTTGAAGTCCAGGAGCTAGTAGGGGAAGTGTGAGTTATGAATAAGCATTTGAAAGGCTTTGATGCAGTTAAGAAACTGAACTATTTGGAAAGATACTGTAATATAGACACAGGCAATATATACAGTATACACACACACACACACACACACACACACACACACACACACTATATATATGGCATTGTGTCTTTGTGTGGCACAGCTTCCTTTATACCCTGGTACACCTGCTTCATCTTTCACTTTCTCGGAAGATTGGTTCTGTCTGGTGCTGAAGAAGATGAACTTTTTCATACTCCACAACAAGATGCACACTCAGCAGTATCATCAAGGGTTACTTAAACAGCATGGCCATGTTCCTAAGTAAACACAGGTCTTTAATTTTATGCTGTTATAAATCTAAATATAAATATTTCTTCTTATTCTTTGTCTTCTTTCCCTTTTCCTCCTCCTCCTCTTCTTCCTCTTCCTCCTTCCTCTTCCCCTTCCCCTTCTTCTTCTTCTTCTTCTTCTTCTTCTTCTTCTTCTTCTTCTTCTTCTTCTTCTTCTACTTCTTCTTTTTCTTCTTCATAGTGCTAAGGAATCAAACCCAGGGCTCACACATGAAAGGCAGGTACTCTACCACTCCTCTTCTCTTAATTTTTAATTAGAAAGTTTTAAAACAAAAACAAAATTAAAACAGAAAGAAGCATAAAGAACACTAACATCACCTAGTTTCATCAATAGGACGTTTTCTTAGGTGCATATAATGTCATTTGAGCTCCCAAATATGTAACATTGACACACTAGTATTATCTAATGTAAATTCCATACTTAAAATTACCAATAGTCCCAGTAACTATTTGGTTATCTTTCATGAGTTGGATGATTTTAAAAGTCACACTTGCTTTGCAAAATGTCTATCATCTGAGTTTGTGTGATTATTTCTTTTTTTGTTAGATGGCAAAAATTAAACATCATTGCAAAAACTTACACGTGATGTGCACTCTCATTGTATCATACAGGAGACAGTGACACAGTTTCTCCTGTTATTTAATTCTGTAAAGTTTGATCATTTGGTTAAGGTGATAAGTGTTCATCCAGTGGTTTTAGCATTCATTAATTATTCTTGCTTGCATCAATTATCCCACTGGAATTAGTTTTTGTCATTCTTTTTAAATACACTGTATGGACTGTTCAGTGTCAAACCCAGGCCTCTGCGATCCTAAAGTTCTTGTTCTTTCTACTACATTCCCAGGCCTCTACTATGAAAACAAAGCAAGTCATCAGAAGCAGGAATATATAAAACTTGATTTCATCTACCTAGGAGAGCTGCATTTCTTTCTTTCTTTGTCTATTTTTGGATTAAAATGAATCCTTCTCATGGAGTTGAAAACTTTTTAAGCTCCGAGGTTGTAGTGTCTTCAGAGCTGTTATTTTTAAGGGTCATGCATGAAGGGATGTATTTTAAATAGGTAGAAAGATGTCCAAATCGATCCCCCTCCACACACACACACAGTGTATCGCTGATATTCTCCCACTTCTTTGGGAGTTCAGATTGCCCCCTGCCTTGATCAGTTGATTGATCACTATTGGCAAAGGTACTGAAATCAAAATGTCAGGTTGGATTTGTTTGTTTTTAATGGCAAAACCAGATGGGAGAATTTTGTGGACTTCCCACCATTCTTTCTGGGGGGCAAGATCCTGCGCTCTATGGATAAGGTAATGAGTTCTGAAAAGACTTGAACACCATCACCTACATCCAAAGAGAACTTTCAGACTCATGTGCCAGGAAGTGTGTGCCAAATGGAGGTGCAAAAGAGGGCAGGGTTCCTCCAGCTGTGCCGGCTGCTGCTCCAGGTACACGGTGTCCTGTTTCCCAGTAACTGCTCCCATGGAAAGTGCTCTTGCTGTGTGAAGTTAGTGTGAATGGAATTTTCCTGTGAAAAAACAGAGCAAACCCTAGTTCTTCCTCTGTTCCTTCTCTTTCTTATATTAAGTGGCAACCCCTAATCTCTAATAAATTCCGGCTTACAATCACATTGACAGTATCAGAGTTACTGGCACTTAAAAAGTCCCCCCAGATTAAAACAAAAGATTCTCTTTCTTTGCTATCTTTGTACTGTTTAACATGAATATTTCAACAGTCTTAGTTTTCCAAACTTGCAAACAAGAGAGAGTGATCTGACCCACAGTATGTTGATTTACCATGTAGCTATAACCTTGAGATAAGAAGTAAAGGAAAAAGTCAAAACAGCTCAAACTAAATACTAACGGAAGCAAGACTATCTTCACGCAGACCCCTTTGCCCACCATCAGGGAACAAACTGGCATTAGCACAGGCAATGTTGGACACAATCAGGTCTGTACTTGTGCAGCTCCATGAGTCCCCAGATGTATTGTTGAGAAGTCTAATGTATTAATTAATTTGTTCAACCAATATTTATTGCTGTGTGGTCCTCTGTGCCAGATGGGGCTCTAGGGGTGAAGGTATCCTACATATTGAAGGGGTGCCTAAGACACCAAGTCTATGTCCTGGCAGAATATTGTGTATCTAATGCTGTTAGAAAAAAAATCAGAGACTGCAGCCCACAGTGTGGAGAGAAGATGAGAAACAGCCTGAGCTAATTTCCTAGGTTCTGCATATCCAGGAATGTGACTGTCAAAATCTGCATTAGTGCAATGCAAAATCTGTGCAATAGAAAATCAAAAAGGAAAACCACACTCAAAAGCAAGCTTCTTCCCACTGCTCATGCAGGGTCCTTGGACAGATTTTACCAAATCAATCAGGAAAAATCAGATCTACAGTTCATAAGATGATGGAAAGAGGCAGCAGTTCTAACTGTGCATTTGTTCCATGCCAAAATAAAGACAGAATGCCCCAATGTAATAACACGTGGCTTTGCTGAGCATCCCTGCTGGATTAAGCTCAGTTTAATCATTTACATATGTATTGTTATTTATTGTTATTGTTTATTTAATTTAATGTATTGTTAATTTAATTGTATTTAATCTCACACTGACCATCTTTTGAAATTGATTTTATTCCCTTTTCCTACTTAAAAAAAAAAAAAGAAAGAAAAGAAAACCCAGGAAAGTTAAGTTACTTGCCATTCTTCAAGAATGCAAACCTGGCAGAGTGCAACCAGAATCAGATTCCAGTTCTATGTGACCCAAAATTCATATTGTAAACCAGTAAATGTCCATGCACAAGATAATCTTTCATCCTTTTACTTAAGAAAAAAGCATTATTGTTGAATAGAAAATTTATTTAGATAGCTTCAGAATGTGTTGTCTTCACTTTCAAACATGTCCAATGAGTCAAAATTAAATGCCACTTTCTCAAATGCATGAAAAACTAAGAGATAACTTGCAATTGCTTAATTGTACATAAACCCAACATCTCAACAAAGAACGAAGACTCAAGAATAAGTGAACATCTGTATTTTGTTCAATTGATAGCTCATTTCTTGAAGTTTATTGTGTTTTATAATTTCATTCATGGATCTTTGCGCTTTATTTGAAAATTGAATTAATAAGCATAAAATAACAAGAGTGTAGTCAGTCTGGTGAAAACAATATGAACTCCATAATGAAACTGATGCCTAAGTGGGGAGGAAGCCATATCAAAAATCTTCATCAAAAACTCAAATATAATTGTGGTGGAATTAAACTTTGAAAAGAGGTGAAAGGTTCACTTTTGCCTTAAATCATTGACATGAAATGAAAAGTGATCCGAGTGCTTATTTTTACTGTGTTTTGTGGGAAAGTGTGCTGGGAATGTGGATCTATTGTGCACAAAGGATGTTGGCTTTATGCTGGAACCACTGGGCAGGTTGAGTTGAGAAACAATTAGCTCAGTCAGCAAGCCTTTGAATCTGATTAAGCCAGGAAGTGGTCATTCCCCTCCCCAGGACCGGGCAGAATGAAGGGACTCAAGGCATCAACTCCAAAACCAGTAATAGAATTTACTGTGTGTAATTTATGTCAAGGATTATGTTATTACATTTTCGCCTTTGGTGAAACAAGAACAATCATGTCTCCAAGTAGATCAACAGTCCACGTGTGTCATGGCTACTGTTTCTAAGAAACTTCTGTTTATTGAGGCCCGTCATAACCTCATGTTTTGGCAACAAACATCTTTGAGAGGCAGGACCTAAGTCATAGAGAAAAATGAAGGTCTTATATCGAACTGCTGGACAGCTTTTCATTACTCTGGGGAGTTTAAGTGTAGTTTCTGGAGTTATTGCTTTCTTCCCTGTCTTTTCTTACAAGTTTTGGTTCACCGGATGGAGTATACGGATCGCTTGTCCCATCTGGAATGGAGCTTTGGTAGGAATGTATTTTATTACATGTATTGAGAGAATAACGGAAGATGGTGGTATAGTCAGGGCATGGGAGGGCAAGTGGGAAACAGAATAATGCCCTTTTAAAATATTCCAACAGTGTGACAAGATAAAATGCTGTAGAATATCAGAATTTAACTTAGAACATAGCTTTCTACAGATTGTATCTAAAGTTTTTCTTAATATTACTCTATGTTGTATACATGCATATATTCTGTCTTATATTCGTGCATATTTATAATGAAGTGTTGCTAAAGAAATTCTTAGAAAGTTGCTTTATTTTGATCCTCTTGCCTTGATTTTCTCAAATCAGAAACTGTCTTTCCAAAATCTGATTACTGAATTGAGATGAAGACATAAGCTATCAAATAATTTTAAAATGGAAAACAAAGTCCAGTCATTTTCAAACTGAAAATAATTCAGGAAATGAGGCACTGATTTCATTGACTTTGCAAGTGTACCAGGAAAATATAGGTGTGCCAAGTACAGTGTCTGCGCTGCAGACGTGCTCAGTGTGTGTTCTCTGGGTGATCCCACAGATAAACTATTGGGCTGATACCTCAGCTCCACCTGGCCTTGGGAATAAGTGGCTTTCGTGGTTGTAAAACTTAGGAGCATTGACAGAGGAGGCCCATCTCCCTAACAAATCCATCTCTCATTATTTCCCATGACATCTGACATTCACCACCGGAGACGGGAGGGTTTGGTTTTGCAGACTTTTTCTTTTATCTTAAGGAAATTTCTGTTCAAATGTAGCCACTCTTAGGTGGGGCAACATCTTCAATGCTTAAATAATCGAAACATTGTAAACCTGAAAACAAGACCCAAAGGAGTGCCCTTTTAATCTAGTTATGAAATATGTATGAGCTGACAGCTCACTATGGCCCTGGGTTCCTATGGAGGGTACAATGGGGTCTTGATTTTAAAGATTCTGCCAAGTAAGGTTTAATGATGGGGTACAGATGGGGAAACAGGGTTCAAGTTCTGACCTTAATGTTCTTAATATGGAGTCAACAGCAAGCCGCCATTCAACCAACTGGCTCCTCATTGTCTTCACCTGCTATGTGGAGAATTTTACGGGTAAAGAAAAGTCACATGACTTTCTGTCTAACCCTGAGGTGCTCCTCAAGGATGACCCCAGTTTGAACAAAGTTGGTGTGATAAAGAGCTCCGCTAAATAAAGCACCGCTCAAATGCTAGTTAATGCCATGTCTTTTATCCATGCCCTGCTCTCTGAGCAAATGCTTTGTTCCTGATCCGCTACCACCTGCTTCACTCTCCTGTCCTATTCCCTGAGTCCCACCCTGTCACCTCCTGGATTTCAGCTCCCACCACTTGCCTCTTAGCTCACTTTTCTCTCTCTTCACATTGGCAGCCAGATGTTTTTAAACCTGCTGAGGTGTATTTCTGTCTCTGAACCTCTGTCCTGAATGCTCTCTGCCTGAATTCTCCCTGAACTTGGCTCACACCTTAACCTGCTTCAGTTCTTGATTAACCCTTACTTTTCCATTGAGGTCTTTCCACATTACCCTGGTTAATACTGTACCCCACTGCCCTCACTTGACATTTCCAATCTGTCACACTCTGCTCTATTTTTCCCACAGTCCCATCTTCACCCAAGATACTACATAACTTTATTGTCTCTTTGTCCCATTTCCCCCTAAATGTGTATTATACAATGTGTATTACTGCTGTATCTCCAGAACCTGGAACAGAGAGTCACATACTAGATTTTACATAGATATTATTTGAGCAATATTACTGAGTGAACTAATCCTGTGGTTTCCACACAGAATACTGTACACAGTTGAACTCTGAATCAGGTTGCGAGGACTGAAGGTCAAGTTGGCATTTACATTAAAGCCGAAAGTGTTTATGAAAAGAAAAACAGTAAGAATGTTCACTCTTTCAATAACGTCTAATTTTGGAACAACGTGACTTTTTTCCCTAATGAGTTGCCTATTGAACCATGATTCTGTCCAATCAGGGTCAGCTTCAAAACTGTCTACTTAATTCCACAACTTCCCTTACCAGTCACTTCTTAACTTGCTTGCAAAGTATGTCTTCCTCTAGGGAAAAGATAATTTGTACATTTCAATCATGCTGACATTTCCATTTGCAAATGCCTCCAAAATATTCTTAGGACTGATAAGAGAAAGACTTTCTACATGTGATAGAGTGCTCTGTATTTGTTTGGAACCTTTTACTCAAGGCTTTCTAAGTACTTCATAAATATAGATCCACAGGCTTTCCTGACTCCTTTCTGACAGCCACATGATATGTAGTTTTCCTAGAATTTCTGAGCTGGCTTATTTAAAGTCATCAGCTGCTAGAAAGTATGCAGTGAGGAGATTGTAGTACCTTCAAGGTTGAGCCCTATTAATCCTGGAATATGTGGCTTGAAGAGCATGTTCTAATGAAAACACCGAAGCATAGTGAGTTAGATCACAGGACCAATGGTGAGAGAGCTCAAGAACCTGGCCTGTGGTAGCCTGCACCCAGAACCTGCAGGCAGACTGGAACTTGGGTATTGATTAGGGTTCTACTGAGCCAATGCAGGTCCCGGGTTCCTCAGCTGTCAGCAAAGGGGCTTCAGAACACGATTGTTCAAGTCTCTTACAACTTCAAGTAGTCAAGTTTCTCTCAGGCAGTGTCTAAGAAAAACCACAGCTGAATAACAGGTAAACCAAGAAAAGCATATTTGATTCATCACTACTGCAATAGAAGGGGGAAAAAAACCTCTTAGTATAGAATTGGTTCAATTCCAAATATGGCAGAGGCAAGCAGGAATTTATAGCCCAGAAACAGGGTGGGGTCAGTGAGTGGAAAAATACTAAGAGGAAACTTCAGGGATAAAAGGGATATTCTGACTAAAGCAATCTACTGGAATTCTTGCTGAAGACAGTGCAGGGTGGCCAAACATTGCTTAGAGGATGATAGATAAAAGCAAACAGATGTTGAGAAGGTAATCATAGATATTGAGGATGGGGGGATTCTTCTCAAACAGACTTAGCAGAGTGCTTGCTAAAATAGGATTTTATAAACTGAGCCTGGTAGCACACACCTGTAATCCCAGCACTCGGGAAACTGAGGCAGGAGGCTTTCCATGAATTCAAGACCAGCCTGGGTTACAGAAGCAAGATCAAGGCCAGTCTGTGCTATATTTTGAGACCCTGTCTCAAAAAGCGGGCGAGGGAGAGATTTTATAAGGAAGTACACAGATGACCAAGTAGGAAGTTCAGGAACCTCACCAAAGTTGATCAAGCCAAGAATTTTCGTCAGAGATCAATTTTCCACTTAGCTTAAGCAGCTTTATAGTCAGCATGTCTAAAAACAAATTGCTTATTTTGTCTCCAAAACTAGTTCTTTCTGCTCTGACATCCCATTCATTGTCTTGGAAACTCAATTTCAAAGGCTGAGGTGAGTTTTGACTCAATCTTCTTTAAACAATCCCTTCTCAAGCTGTAACATACATGTAAAACCCTGAGGGATGTTGTTGAAAAGCCAGTCCTAAGTGCACAGGTCTGGGTGAGCCTGAGTGTCTGTATGTCTCAGAAGTTCCAGGCGATAGCCACGCTGCTAGTTCCAGGACTGTACTTTGGGCAGCAAAGACCTAACCACACCATCTCTAGCCCACTTCCCTCGGCTCCCCTGGAGTTTCAGTCTTTCCCATGAGACCACACATTCCTTCTTCTTCCTTCTCACTGTGCAGCCCTCCAATTCTTATCACTTCTTACCCTTGCTAAGATTTTATATCTAGGTAACTTTAATGGCCAAACTAACAGAATCCACAGCAGGAGGTGAGCCACAGTGAGCAAGTACAGTCTCATCTACAGTTATACCTGCTCCCAATTACCCGCATTACCACCTGAGCTAGACCTCCTGTCAGATTAGTGGCAGCATTTACATTCTAGTAGGAGCTCGAGCCCTACGTTGAACTGTGCACTTGAGGCAGATTGCACTCCGCAAGACAATCTAATGCCTGATGATCTGAGGTGGAGCTGAGGTGGTGATGCTAGGCCTGGAGAGCAGTCACAAGTACAGGAGAACACTGGTAGAGAAGTTTGACTGCACAGATTTGACCATAAGTCAAAATCCTACCAGTGAGTAGCAAGTCACAAGCTATATCTGGGAGCAGATTTTAGAGCAGCAAGCAAGTTGATGTATTTTCATTGTATATAGCTGCCTCCAGTGGCAGGCTTTAAGTAGGAATTCAACACTTATTTTAATCTACACATGGCCTGCCCATTATTTAATTTGCCAAGTCCATCATGCTTCTTCCCCACACTGTACCCTTGTCTGAGTCACAATACTAATCAAAAATTTCTTAAGATATCCAAAAGTCAACTCAAAATGGCTCAATGGATTAAAGTAAAGGCAGGTATGGCCTTAGTCATTGCTTGGCTGAAGTCATTCTCCCTGGACAAAATACTTGTTTTTTTCCTTATCATACAATTGAAACAATATGATGTTTATACATGAGTGGCATATTTATTTCACTAATAAATGTTATCAAGGTGCATCCATTTACCTATAAAATGTCCAATTTATTATTCTTTGTGACTGACTAGTATTGCATTATATAGAAATACCACATCTTTTTTATCCATTAGTCCATGGACATTAAGGTTGTTTCTAAAATCTAGCTATTATAAACTATGCTGCTATAAACATGGGTACACATATATTACTGTGGTGTGATGCTTTTTAATTCTTTTGGGAAGATATTCATAAGGGGAATAGCTGGGTTGAATGGGACCTCCAATCTTAGTTTTTTGAGGAATCTCAATACTGATTTTCACAGTGGTTATACCAGTCTGCATTCCCACCAGTAATGGAGAAGGGTTCCTTTTCCCCCAAAGCCCTTCCAGCATTTGTTTTTGATTGATTTCTTAATACTAGCCATTCTTTCTGGGGTAACGTGAAATTTCAATGCTGTTTTAACTTGCATCTCTCAAATGACCAGTGCTGCTGAACATTTTCTTC